TTCCATAACCCAGTAGTTTTTGAGCAAGGTGTTGTTCAGTTTCTGTGTGTTTGATTTTTTTTTCCTTCCTTTTTCTGTTATTGATTTCTACTTTTATGACTTTATGGTCAGAAAAGATACTTTGTAATATTTCGATGCTTTGAATTCTGTTAAGGCTTGCTTTACGGCCTAATGTGTGGTCTGTTCTGGAGAATGTTCCATGTGCACTGGAAAAGAAAGTATACTTGGCTGCTATTGGGTGGAGTATTCTGTATATGTCTGTGAGGTCAAGTTGGTTGATTGTGGCATTTAGATCTTCCATGTCTTTATTGGGCTTCTTTCTGGATATTCTGTCCTTTACTGAAAGTGATGTGTTGAAATCTACTATTATTGTGGAGCTGTCTATCTCTCTTTTCAATGCTGTTAGAGTTTATTTTATGTATTTTGGAGCACTGTCGTTGGGTGTGTAAATATTTATTATGGTTATGTCCTCCTGGTTTATTTATTCATTATATAGTGTCCTTCCTTATCCTTTGTGGTGGATTTTACTTTAAAGTCTATTTTGTCAGAGGTTAATATTGCCACTTCTGCTCTTTTTTGATTGTTGTTTGCTTTATATATATTTTTTCCATTCTTTGAGTCTTAGTTTGTTTATGTCTTTAAGTTTAAGGTGCATCTCTTGTAGGTAGCGTATAGACAGATCATGTTTTTTAATCCATTCTGCCACTGTCTATCTTTTTATTGGTACATTTAGTCCATTTACATTCAGCGTAATTATTGATAGGTATGTGTTTAGTGCTGTCATTTTGATGTCTTTTTTGTGTGTGTCATTGACAGTTTCTTTGTTCCACTTAATTTTCTGTGCTGAGTTGTCTTTCTTTATATATATTTTTTCACCTTTTTCATTGTTGTTGATTTTGTGTTTGTTGAGTCTTTATGTTTTTCTTGATTTTCATTTTAATGTATACGGTTGTTAGTTTTCATTTACAGTTACCTTAATATTTACCCCTATTTTTCTAAGTTGAAACCAGGCTTTTATTTCTTTATATCACCTTGACTTCCTCTCCATATGAAAGATCTATGACTACGTTTTTTTAATCTCTCTTTTTTGTTTTAATATTGTCATCTTTTACATATTGATGTCTCTGTTTCCCTATTTACAGTGTTTTAGCTTTGATTTATTTTTGTGACTTCCATGTCTAGTTTTATATTTGGTTGCTCTGTCCTGTGTTCTAGTCTTGGATTTTTATCTGATGTTACTGATTTTCTAACTGGAGGATTTCCTTTAGCATATCTTGTAATTTTGGTTTGGTTTTTGCAAATTCCCTAAACTTCTGTTTATCTGGAAATAGCCTAATTTCACCATCATATTTGAGAGACAGTTTTGCTGGATATATAATTCTTGGCTGGCAATTTTTTTCCTTCGAGGCTTTATATATGTCATCCCATTGCCTTCTTGCCTGCGGAGTTTCTGCTAAGTAGTCTGAGCTTATTCTTATTGACTCTCCTTTGTAGATGACTTTTGTTTTTCCCTAGCCGCTCTTAAAATTCACTCTTTATCTTTGGTTTTGGCAGGTTTGATTATAATATATCTTGGTGACTTCTTTTGGGATCTTCCTTGTGTGGAGTTTAATGAGCATCTTGGATAGATATCTTCTCATCTTTCATGATATCAGGGAAGTTTTCTGTCAACAAATCTTCAACAATTCTCTCTGTATTTTCTATCTCCCTCCCCCATGCCCGTTGTAGTACTCCAATTATTTGTAGGTTATTCTTCTTGATAGAGTCTCACATAATTCTTAGGGTTTCTTCATTTTTTAAAATTCTTTTATCTGATTTTTCCTGAAACAAGTTGATGTCAAGTGCTTTATCTTCAGTCTCACTAATTCTGACTTCCATTGCCTCAATTCTGCACCTGTGACTTTGTGTTGAGTTGTCTAATTCTGAAATTTTATTGTTAATCCCCTGGATTTCTGTTTGCTTTCTCTCTATGGATTCTTGCAGCCTGTTACATTTGTCATTATGCTCTTCTGTAATCTTCTTCAATTCCTCTATTGCTTTGTCTGTGTGTTCCTTGGTTTGTTCTGCATTTTGCCTGATCTCTTGAAGACTTCTGTATATTAATCTTTTGTATTCTACCTCCAGTGATTCCAAGATGTTCTCTTCCTGCAGAAGATTTCTTGATTCTTTGTTTTGGGAGTTTGCCGAAGCCATCATGGTCTGCCTCTTTATGTGATTTGATGTTGTCTGTTGTCTCCGAGGCATCAATAAGTTATTATATTTATTTATTGTATGTTTGCTTACTGTGTCCTAGCTTCTTGTTTTGATATGCCCAAATAGGCTGGTTGTGTGAGCTAGTTTGATTACTGGCACTTTTGAAGTTCTAAGGCCCCGTCACTAGGTGGTTAGATCTGTTACTAGGTATGTGAGCCCGGAGTCCGTTTACTTTTCTTGTATGGTTTCAGCTCAGGTGTCCAGGTAGTCTGTTACGAAGTGCGTGGTGGAGGCTTTCACCTACAGTCCTTGACGGGCAGGAGTGATTGGAGTAGGCACAGGTATCTGGCTGCAGTAGGGAGTCATGCGCTGAACAAGGCAGGAGGCTGACAGCTGCCCCTGAGTGTTTGAGAGGAAAGCATGTTCCTGTTCCCTAAAGTGTGTAGGTGGGTGGGGTTTGGAGCCGGACTGTAGGCACCCAATGCTGTTGGCTGTAAGGACTGGGAGGCATCACTTGTTCTTGGCTCCCTTTCACAGGTGGCTAGGTGTCATGGGTGGAGCCACTAGTCCTCAGGCCCTTGATGTGGGTAGGTGAAGACCCTGCTTAATGGGCAGAGCAGTGTCAAATGTCACGAACCTGTCACTCCACTATATAGCCGATAGAGTTGAAGTTAGGTTTCAGGTATATACCCTGTTGTTTTGTGCTAATGAGGGCCTAGAGTGTTGAAATGGACCCACACAGGTCTATGCAGGGGTGAAAGGCATTTAAAGTCCATGAACCCCTTATGTCTGTGCCTAGGCAAAGGAGCTATGCCTACCCTGAGTTCCCGGCTTAGGGGAACTGGCAGATTGTTTTTTCCCTATTTGTTAATTTGTTCCCTCTCCAAGGCTGGGAGAATGGCTTAAGGCACACGACGGATCCTACTTACGGCCCAGGGGACGTGGCAGTTACAGAAGCCAGCCCAGGACCCAGTGCGCAGTGGGGAGGAGGCAGGTAAATGGGAGAGAGGTTCTTCCCAAAGGAGGTGTTTTTTGAGCTGTTCGGTGAGTTAGACATATGTACTTATCTTTTGCCGATTGAGTGCTGCTTTTCACTGGTTCTGGAGGCTTCAGTGGACTCTCTGCTGCTCATTCTTTCCCAGTGTTGAAACTGCATCCCGAGTGCCACTGCTTGCTTCACCGCACACACCACCTGATCCGTTTTGCAGGGTGCCGGTTCCCGCTGAGTCAAGTGTGGCAACTCCTCGCAGCTTCCGAACTGTCTTTCCCGTCCCCTGCCACTCAGTCCAATTCCTCAACTTAGCCTTCGATGTTCAGGGCTCTATATTGCCATATGTAATTGATTCACTTGTTTTTTCGGGTCTTTGTTGTAAGAGGGACCACAGGAAGCGTCTGACTCCACCATCTTGGCCCCGCCTCTTGCCATTTGCTTTTATTCTGACTTCACCGCTCGTATTTCCTTTTCTATTAAGTTAAGGTGTTAGACTGGATGTCTAGCTCCTCTCTGGCATCATGAGCCTGTGATCTGAGGCCTGCCTGGACTGTGAACTCTTCTCTGACTGCCTTCCAGTGAACCACTCTGAAGGCCCGCTGGGCAGCTATCCTGCTCCACAGCTTTAGCACAGCTTTAGAGCCAAATAAGGAGATCCTGGACTGATACAAGTAGAAGGGGAGGGGTACCATTTTTCTGTTCAGAGTCATTGAAGTATAAACAAGCTGAAACATGTAGGGGAATGTCTCCCAGATTAACCAGGCATGAATAGAGGACCCCAGGAGGAGAGCCCCTATGTGCTTCAGGTTGTCCATCCGTATGATAGGGGTAACCTAGAAAATTGTAGATAAATGCTCCTTGGTTTCCTCGCTAAGAAAAATTCTAAAGGAATAAAGGGATTGGTAGTAGAATGGTGATAGAGGAGAGCAGACTCTGAACTCCTGCTTTGGCTTTCCTAAGCCAGTAAGCCGGGAGGATGGTGCTGAAGCGAGATGTAGGCGAGGCGTTAGAAAAGAGCCCCGGGTCCTGTGAAGGCAAATCCTTGCATCTAGATGAATTACAGCCTCGGATGCAAGGGAGCCCAGAACCATGTCAGGAAGTTTTGGGAAATGAGGGCTGGCAGTGTTGTGCCTGGAGCCTGCAGAAGGATTTCCAGAAGGGAGGGGAAAAGGCATATTTTATCAGTGACCAAACATTCGTGTTGATATTGATCATTTTAGATCAGATCATTAAACACATTATCTGCAAGTGTTTTGCATTTCATTTGCTGAGAGCTTAGTAAGGATTCCCTTAAGTCATGGCTGAGTCACCTCATTTTTTTTTTAAATGGGATTACTAGAATGGTAGGTGAGGACAATGATGTTTTATGCAGCATTTCAATTACTTAAATGAAGATAGACTAAATTGCATGCTTATTAAATTTGTGTATGACATAAATATAATAAATGATGGAATCAAAATCCAGAATAGTCTTCAAGCATGGAAGTGACACAGACCAAATTCAGGCTAGTGGCCGTTACCACTGTGTGGCTGGGGAGGAGGGGGATGAAGTTGAGGAGGCAAATACTGGAGCTTCAGTTTTATTTGTGATTGTTTTCTTAAGTTGGGTATTGGGCACGTGGTTAAATGTTATCATATCCGTTATACTTTTTTTTCTTGTTACGTCTAATATACAGGCAGTCCCCGGTTACGAATGTCTTACAGACAGCTCGTACTTAAGAACGGACTGCCATAAAGCCTGTTATATTAAAAATTTGAGTTAAATCCAATGGTTTGTAATAATGAACGCATGCACTACTTTGTGATGCTCATGAAAACATGGTGAGGTTTAGAAGTATTTCTTAAGTGTTTTATATGCATAGAAAGGTAAAATATATACTATATACTAAGACAAACATTTGACTAACTGATGCTAAATAAGAACCATACGTACCTGTTCTCACTTACCTGCAAATCTGATTTAAAGACAAACTTAGACACGGATCTCGTTCATAACCTGGGCACTGCTTGTAGTCTACCACTGAAAAATAAAATTCAAAACAGCATGGGAAAGCTGGATTGCTGGACTGACAATATCAGATGACGTTTAGTAGTACTATCTATCATATTCTGATTTTTAAAAAAGTCAGAATTACATACAAAATGAGGGATATCCAAATTCATGGCAGTTTTCTTGAAAACAATCTTGGGGAACAGGATTTCCTGGTGAGCCACGAGGAAGCAGCATGACACAGTTGCTAAAAAAGTGAATGCAACTGTAGACTGCTTCCCAACCAGGGGAGATTATCGTCCCACTGAACCCTGCTGGTCTGACCAAACCCATGTTATTCTGCTTAGCTCTGGGCTCCTGTTTTAGGAGGGTCGTTCATAAACTAATATTTATCCAGGGGAGGTGACCAAGATGGGGAGGAAGCTAAACATCTGGAAACAGTTAGACTGGAGAAGACTTAGGGGCAACATGGTGATGGCCTTTACATATTTGACAGGCTGACATATGGCAGAAGGCACATCATTTCTCTTTTTGCTCCCAATGGGAAACTAGGAGATAGATTTCAGCTGTTCATATAAAGAAGAACTTTGTGAAAGTTAGCATTCTTCATCAAGGGAATGATCAGATTTCCATAGTACTGAGCTGCCTGTCAATGAAAGTGTTCAAGGAAACTGATCACATGTTAGCATATTTTTTTAAGGATTTCTGCAGTCATCTGAGGTTGGACTAGATGACCATCTAGGCATCTATTTGGGATGTCTTATTCAGGAACATTAGGACAACTTAGCTGTAGATTCTAAATGCACATTGAATGAAATGAGAAACTTGCCTCGAAACCTGTGGCACGTACTTGTACATTTTTATTTATGGGTTTCTCCACCTCCCAGAGAAAGGAAGTTGGGGTACCATTCTTGGCATGGCCCACAAGGTCACAGTGGCCTGCTCCTAAATGGTGCCCTCCAGGAGTTAATCCACTTAAATTTAGCTTCTAAGTAACTTGTATAACTTGGTTATTAAGACGATAGTTCTGAAAACATTTTTTTGGCCTATGTGATGTTATGTCTGAAAAGCATTCCTTATTAATTTAATTATCTTTTTTTTTTTCCCTGTGGTTGCTGTATTTTTCTCCATTCCAGATGTTGGCTTAAGCCACACTTATTTTCTGACAAGTACAAGGAACATCTGAGTCTTTGAGACGTCAGAGATAACTTTTCAGAGGAGTGATTAAAATAGATAACCATTTGTTGTCTAAACTTCCAGTAGAATCTTCTTTGAACAGAGTTGCCTGGAGAGGGTATACCCATTGCCAGTTGAATTGATTCTGACTCATAGCAACCCTCTAGGACAGAGTAGAACTGCCTCATAGGGTTTCTAAGGAGGACTAGTGGATTCGAACTGCCGACCTCTTGGTTAGCAGTTGTAGTTCTTAACCACTGTGCCAGCGGTGCTCCTGGATAGGGTATAGGAGTCAACAAACCCAGTTCAGTACAAGTAGAAACACCTGAGAATAGGGTTTTCTTCCTTCTGCCTGGCCAGCTTAAAGGTCTAAAACTCCTAAGTACTGGTGTCCACCCTCATGTAACATCGCTAAATTCCATGAGACTCAGAGAATAGGATTAAAAGGTAAGACTCTGTCTATACCATCTGCTCTGCTAACAGCTGTTGGGTGAAAAAGAGACCCATCAAGGTGTGGAAACCCTGACCTCTGGTTTCACTAGTGTGAATACCTGATACCAGATCTGGCTTTGGGCAAGATTATCAAGGTCCAGGTGTTCAGTTCTCCTCAGGGCTTTTTCAGCTGCTCAGTTTTCTTCTTTGCCTGTAAGCCAAACCTGTGCCCACTTCTTTCTTTCACATAGACTTGTAGATGACCCTAGTGTTACCTTTATTGGAGCTATTTATTGTATTATGGAGACTTAAATTTGGAAATAAAGCAGTGAAGCTCTAATGTTGGAATTTTAGGCTCACAAACGGGAGGACCTAAAAGCAAGGATTGGAAGATTGTTTCCTGATGCTGCTAGTGAAATTGAACTGTTTGGGCAGCTGCCTGTACTGCCTCCTTTTCACTAGGAAGGCTGTGCTCCCGGCCTTCTGAATTTCTGCGTTCCACCCAGGAGTAGCTGTGGTTCAGCCTATGGAATGAAATCATGTTCTCTACATTGTATTTTGTTATTTGCTTGCAAGGAGTTCTGGCATTAAAATATATACTCTGATACCTGTCACCAGTTTCTGTCTCTCCATACTGAGAGAGGGGCCTGGCCAACTTCATCTCTGGTGCCGGGGCTCTTTTAAGTCCATTTTCTAAATACGTTTTTGAGCGAAAGGAAAGAGGAGTTCATCTCTTCTGGAATGCATTGACAAAGCAAGCTAGAAAAACAAAACTTGTAGGAACTAGCTTTTTTTCAGTGTTATCTGTTACTTCAACAGATCAACTCAGGTCATGTTAGAACAAGCGATTTGATCTGCAAACAGCCTCATTCTTAGGTGAAATTTCTGACAATGATGAGAATCCATGGCCTATTGCTGCCATTCACTCTAAAAGTTAGAATCCAATCAGTTACTTAACTAACCAGGTATTTGTTAAACATCCGTTGTGTACCTAGCCAGTGTTAGGTCTTGGGTAGGATGTGAAGTATAGAAAAAGGTCCTCATCCTTAAAGAGCTTACAGTCTAGTTAGAGAGATAAAACACATGCTTATGACCCTGAGGTACTGTTCTTAACCGCTGAATTGTGATTGTATGTGATGTGTACCCTAAGCCTACATGATATACACTAAGGACTAGAGGGCCTGTAAAGAGTGGGAAGAATACCAGTGGGTTGGAAAAGTCCTGGAGGCTTTACCAAGTAGCAAGTCAGGAAGAGCACTTGGGAAGTCAGCCTGTCGCCTCGGAACTCTTAGAGTTCACCCATGATGGTTAAGAGCTCCTACAGGAGGAGAGAAAAGTCAGGTCCATTCTGTAGATAGTGGAAGCTAACAAGAGATAAGATAGTTGTATGATTCATAACTTGGAAGTCGTCATAAAGAGCTTTGCTTCCACTTAAACCAAGGCTGACCTGGGAAATTGACAAAATAAATGATTTGCTGCTTCGTAGGAGAAACCATTGATGGTGATTTTTTTGTAACTTAAATTAAGAATAGTGTTTGCCAAAAGTGTTGCATTTCAATATTATGGAAATGATGAATAGTAGTGGGTTTTTTTTTTTTTTAATAAATTTTAATAGTATTTAAACATTTTTAATAATATTTTTCAAAAAAGAGCTTTTATTTCCTTAGTCTTAAATCTTCTCTCAAAAATTGCAGCCAGGGTACTCAGCAGACTTCTTTTTTTTTTCTCCCAGAGATCTTTAGATTTGTTTATTGGCCGTTTATACTCCTTTTTTCTATTTTTATCTGTGTTAGTTGAGTGCAGATAAAAGTAACAGTCCACCACAAAACCAGTGGCTTAAAACAACAACCGTTTCTTATTCCTCACAAGTCTACAGGTCATCGGCAGACATTTTTGATGCTGAATTGAACGTGAAAGAATTCACAGTACCCAGTCCCAAATGTCGACTAACATGCAGTCATTTTATCCTACATGGTAGAGAACTTTTTAAGATCAAAATGTAGTTTTCTCTTTGGGCAGGAAGTATGAATTAGGGAGGAGTGGGAAAGTAAAGATTAATTATATAAATAAAGCTTAAATTTCAATGAGGGTATTTTAGTCTCCTAGTGCTGCTATAACAGAAGTATCGCAGATGGGTGGCTTTAAAGAACAGAAATTTATTTTCTCACAGTTCAGGAGGCTAGAGGTCCAAATTCAGGGTGTGGCTCTAGAGGGAGGTCCTTCTTTGTCTATTTCAGCTTTTAGTAGCTGGCAGTCTTTGCAGCTCCTGGGCTTGTAGATTCATCTGCCTTCTTCTTAGTCAAGTAGAGGCTTCTGCCCTCGCCCTGTGTCTGTGCATCTGTCTCTTTGTCTGTGTTGCTCTTTATATAACTCAGAAGTGGTTAGGTTTTGGATTCACCCTAAAGGTCACTGGTATGGCCTCAGCAGGACCGCCGGTGGCATAGTGGTGAAGAGCTCGGCTGCTAACCGAAAGGTCAGTGGTTTGAACCCACCAGCCACTCCACGGAAGAAAGATGTGGCAGCCTGCTCCTGTAAAGATTCCAGCCTTGGAAAGCCTATAGGGCAGTTCTACTCAGTCCTGTGGGGTTGCTGTGAGTCAGAATCGAATTGACTCAATGGCAATAGGTTTGGTTTTATTACATTAGATTGTATTATGGAAGGTAATAGCATTACATTTGCTTAGATTACATCCACAGGTATGTTGTTGTTACTTGATGAGTCAGCTCTGACTCAAGGTGACTGTGTCCAACAGAAGGCAACATTGCCTAGTCTTGTGCCATCTTCACAGTCTTTGATATGCTCAAGTCCATTGTTGTGAGCACTGTGTATTTTGAATGTCTTCCTACCTAGGGGGCTCATCTTCCAGCATTGTATCAAACAGTATTCGGTTGTGATCCATAGAGTTTTCATTGGCTGATTTTCCAAAGTAGATCACCAGACCTTTTTTCCTAGTATGTCTTAATCTGGAAGCTCTGCTGAAACATGTCTACCATGGGTGACCCTGCTGGTGTTTGTAATACCAGTAGTATAACTTCCATCAGCATAGCAGCATACAAGTCACTACAGTACAATAAGCTGACAGATCCATAAAAGTGTAGGGGTTAGGATTCCAACACATATTTTTTTGGGGGGAGGCACAATTCAATCCATAACAGAGGACAAGGAAAAATAACGACACAGCATTTTTGGCTATTTTTCCCTAAGTGTCACAATCTTTTTCCTCCCTCTCCGCTGGGCCTTAACACTCATCAATCTATTTATAGTTTTATAGCTGAAACAAGCTGTATTAGTCACATAAACTGTATAAGATACATTCATCCTCACATCTTCCTACTTTTTCCTTCACATCTTATTTTCCTCACTCACCTTGAACATTGAGACTCTTAATTGCTCATCTTGCCTCCCCTCCAAACCAGTTACAGACATTGTCTTCTTCACCGTTTAATCAATTGTTCACCGTTGTTCATTAAATGTATTCATTGAGGGTCTACTGTGTGCCCTTTCCAAACCTGATGTCCTTACAAGAGAAAACAGAGGTATGAGCTCTCCCATGGAGACGCCTATGCTAGCTACCATCGTAACTCTCTCCTTTGTTTTATAGCCATTCTCCTGGAAAAGGTAGTCTGTGTTTACAGTCTCCACTCCATTCCCTCCCATTTATTCCTGAATCCACTGTAGCCTGGCTGCTGCTTCTACCACTTTACTGAAACAGTGCCTACAAAAGTCAAATAGGAGTGACCTCCTAGCTACAAAAGCCACTGGATGTTTTTCAGTCTTATCTTTCCTGGTCTTTCTCTGGAGTTTCACACTATTGCCTGCTCCCTTTTTCATGACACTCTTTTCTACGTGGTCTTCTCTGGCCATTGCATCTTTTTTTCTGTTAGAAGGAGCCCTTCCTTCTTCTGCCTCTCAAATGCTGGTGCATCTCTTTGTCCTGCCCTCAGCCCTTTTCTGTTGGACTTTGCTTACACTTTCTGAAGGATGCTACTCTTAGACGTTGATGCGTCACTCCTAGATCTAGAACTTGTACAGAATCGTAGATTCAGCTTTCTCTTGGACAAGGCCTTCTGTATGTCCCATAGATACCTGAAAGTCAGCAGTTTCAAAACTGAGCATACTCTTTTTGTCCTCACCTCAAATACACTCCTCCTTTTGAAGCCCGTCTTTCAGTTACCTAGGTACTACCCAAACCCCAAGCCAGCAATGTAGAGAAACGATCCTAAATTTTTCTCTCTTCTCTTCCTTTAATTTAGTATTGAGTTATGTCAGGTCTGCTTTCTGATTTTCAGATTCCATCCTTTCTTCTTCTTTCCTCTTAGTGCCTTAATCAGGTTTAAATTATTTCTCAAAGTATCTGTTAAACTGGGCTTCCTGCGTCCGGTCTCCCTACCCCCTCCAATCTTTTACCCGCTGCTGCAGCTTACCTTTCTGAAACTCACGTCTGATCATGACACTTCTCTGCTTAAGACTTGTTAGTAGTTTAGCATGGCCCTAAAGGTGCTTTGTGATCTGCCTCCTGCTTCTCTTTCCTGTACACATCCGTCCCTGTATATACATGTAGTCACACTGAAATATTTGTGTTTCCCAATTGTGCCTTTTCATGGGCTGTTTCTTCTGTCTGAAGTGCCCTTTCTCCCATAATTCATCTTTCAGGACTTAGTTAAATATCACCTCCTCTGTGAAGCCTTCCCTCGCCTTCCTCGGAGGTCCCCTTCCAAAAGCCTAGAGTGACACACTCCCTCTTCTGTGCTACACTCTCCTGTTCTTGCCCTCACTTCTTCACACTTGAATGTCTGGTCCCCTCACTAAGCTGTGCACTCCTTAAAGCCAGAGGCTGTGACTTGTCGATGTCTCTGTCCTGAGAGTTCCTTCTCATCATCACATCACCTCTGGGGGTGCTTGTTGAACGTGCAGCGCACTGTATTTTCCCAGACCTGCTACATCAGAACCTGGAGAGCTGAGTCCTGGAATGGGCAGTTTAACAAGCCCTCCGGACAGTCCTCTGCACACGGGCCTCGTACAATGTCTAGCATCACACTCCACCTGGCCAGCTGTAGTCAGGGGGCTGCTTGAAAGAAAACATGGTAGAATCACAGAGGATCTTCCTTTTATCATTTCCTGTGTTCATGTAGACTCAATAACAAATGAGCATTGGTTTAAAAAAAATCACTGACTTTTGAAAGTGCTCCAGTAAATTCGAAATGCTTTGCTCTTTTCTTATGTTGATTGTTATCAGCTTGAGGGAGCCAGTGGCAGGTGTTATGCATTTCTTTGGAGATGGAGAAGCCAAAGCCCAGAAAGGTTAAGCAATAATGTATCTATCCACAATCAAAAAGTGATTCATTATGGAGTCAGGGCTTCATTCATTTATTTGTTGACTCCGCAGATATTTATTGAGAATACTGATTTTGTGTTAGGCACTGGGAATACAATGGTGAATGAGTATCATCTGTATTAGGCTGCTTCTTGTCCCTGTCTTCTTTGTTCTGACTTTATCTGTCTAATTTGAGATAAATGACAATAATAGCAAGCACTTATTATCGGCCGGGCACTGTTTCAGATCTTTACACATGTCAACTCATTTAATAATCAGGACAGTACTGTGAGGTTGGTACCATTATGATTCCCATTCTACAGAGAGGGAAAGTTGGACAGTAAGAAGTTTGGACTTATGCCCTAGGCCATACTGCTAGTAAGTGATAGGCTAGGAATTGAACCCAGGCCATCTGGTCCCAGAACCCATGTTCTTAGCCACTCCCTTAGCTCCACTAGTGCTTCCCACTATACTCTGTCCTTCTCATCTGTTTATGATGCGATGTCTATGAAATAGAACAAGCTAGGTCTCAACATTCCAGAGTTAGCCAGCAGTTTTAAACGGCAAACATTTGGACTTGCTTTGCTTGCTTGAGATAGTCTCCTCCCTTGGGCATTGCCTTGGCTGTGGTCTCAATTTTCTGATCTCAATCAGCAGAAAAGGAAGAAAAGCTTGCAATTAAGCCCAAGCGGTTGTGACAGGTTGCTAAATAAAACTGGCCCAACTGAAGTTCTGTGATCCTTGAGAAATATTGAGAATCTTACAACAGAAATTTTTCTTATAATAGAAATCATGGGTTATTGCACAGTTATGAATGTCTTAGTAAAGACAAAAATGCTTCCTGAGGCCAAGAAGCATGAAATCTTAATGAGATTATTTTGTGGGCTGCTGTTTATGCATAATTCTTAAACTATGAGGAAATATGTTTTCTGCTTTACTGTGGCATCTTAAGTTTCCACTGCAGAAACTTTACATAGCTTTGAAAATCTTTGGTTGCTGAAAGAAAAAGAAAAAAAGAGAATAACATTTAAGCATTTGAAGCTTACAAAGTATTTTCACACACAGCTTGCCTTGACATCCCTGCTTTTACTCTCATAGAAAACAGAATCACAAAGATACCAGTACATGTTGAAATTTGGAAAAATTGCAAACATTTTCTTACATAGTAATCCTAAACTGATTTGCAGGCAAGGTGAGTCTGAATCCGTGAAGTGACAAAATTACCAGATATTAAGAAATTAAAGTTTAGTTGCTCTAAATTGCATTATGGTATCTCTAGGAAACTGCTTTAATGGAAAGATAGCAGTGGCTTTTGGTTAACGTATGTATCCATTGATAATCCACACCACAAGGCTGCTGAAGTAGGTAAGATCCCCCTTCTTTCCTGTGTTTGTGTTTTCCTGCACACAGCCCCACCTCATCCCTTCACTAACCAGCCAAAACCTCTTTGGAGGTTTTGAGCTCTACTGCCTGGGCTTGTTGGCATCAGTGTCTTATCTGGGACTTTGGTGCCCCGGTCACCAGCCCTCAAGAGATGACCACATTTCTCCCAACTTCGGATGAAAACTCTCAGTCCCAAAGATAAAATTTCGTTCAACCTCAGTCTGAGTAATTACCGAATCAAAATGAAGTGGGTCCAGATTAATGAGATTTTTCTCCTCAGTCTCTACAATGTCCAGAGCATTAACAAAACATGCATTTGTACAAAGAGCTGCTGCTATGTAAGTCAGGCTGCTTCTTTTTGATCATTGCAATCTTACAGGAAAGAGACATCAGTTTTGGTAGGGACTGTGGAAATATATCTAGGTAGCCAACGAAAAGCTGAATTGCTACTGAGAGATGTGTCATACAGTCAAGAAAGTAACTTACAAGACACTGGGAGGAAAATGTTTCCAAAACACCAAACAAGTGAGTCTCTTGAGCTGTCCTGTTGGGTGATGCGTGTGTAGTGTCAGTTTGTCTCTTGCTTGGCTATTTATCCCTTTTTTTTTTTTGTCCAGAAGAATCCCTTTTTCCTGTAAAGCCAGAGCTTAAGGCTCAGCTTCTTTTCCAGTTTGGACAAAATAAAGAGTAAAATTCATTTACTACTAATTATAACCTGTATAAGTCTAGTGAAGAGAAACTTAAGAAATATAATTCTTGTTCTCTAGCCAAGCTTCAATGCCATATAATTAATATAATTCAATCACTTACCCATTTTTCCCCCCTAGCTATGAATTAAATTCTGAATTGAATTCATAGCCAGAATGAAAACCGGACTTAGAAAAAACTTGAAAGGACTAGAGAGGGATTTGCATTCTGCTGCATGGTTGAACACGTCCCTAAAGTAACAGCTTTAGAATGCCATGTCCTGATAGAATTCGCTGCTGAACACTGGCCAGCGGAGAGGCTTCTAGTGCCCACCCCTTCCCCGAACCACTGCAAACTGTCACAGAGCCATGGATATGAACCTAGGGGGCTCTGCAGGAAGGCCACACAGCCTGACATAAGGGCAGTAGGATGGGTGAGCCATCTGTGCTCTGGTTTAGAATTCCCAGGCTGTGGGCATTGGAATTGGCCAGCCAGCCTGGCTCAACCTTGGATAAATATTCCTGGGTTCTGAGTGGAATGGGGAATTCAGCCCTGTTTTTCCTGAGTTCTTCCTCAACCAGTCCGTGACATGTTGTTAGGACTTCTGCGTGGAGTGGCCATGTTTGGATGGAGACTAAGAGCAAGTTTTTCACGGACTAATTAGCACAAATTCCCCTCCCAAACCCCAAATCCACTGCTGGCAGGTCGACTCATAGCAACCTTATAGAACAGAGTAGAACTGCCCTGTAGGGTTTCCAAGGCTGTAAATCTTTAAGGAAGCTGACTGCCACATCTTTCTCCTGTGGGGTGGCTGGTGGGTTCGAACTGTCAGCCTTTCGGTTAGCAGCTGAGTGCTTAACCACTGTGCCACCAGGGCTCCTTCATACTCCCATAGCAGTGTCTTTTTCCCTCAGGGAGAAAGCCACTGGGAGGGACAGATTCTAACCCCACTGTAACCATTGGCCAGGACCAGCTTTACCCATAGGGTAGTCGATACCTGTGTGAAATGATCTGAGGCGTCTTAAGCCATGTCCGCTACCTTCCTGATTTTCTCAGATGCCTCCTCCCTTTAAACTCAATCTTGAAGTTTCACAGACAGACTTTCATTCTTTTAGTATATGGTTTTGATCCCTTCTAAAATACAAATCTCCATGGGAAGTATATTACTTTAAGTTATTATCAGTCATTTATGCCTTAATATAAGTGAGTTTAAGTTTCCTTGGTTTTGACAGGAAGAGAAGTAGGAGACATTGGTTGGGTAAAGTGTTAGAGATGAGATAAGTCTGGGGCGGTGGGGGGAGGGTGCAGAACTTGGAACTGAGGCACAAAGGAAGTTGCTCGTTCACACTTGGGACCCGGGTGAGGACTTCAGTCCCTTCTTTCTCACCAGAATTTGCTCCCATCCTTTCAGCGAAACAGGGCATCCTGTTTTCCATTTACCTTTCCCTTTTGGCAGGGAAAGATGTGGAAGTCTTTTTACAGCTTTGACTCTTCCTTACCCCTTCTAGATGTAGTTCCATTTCCTTTCCAAGACAAAGCTTATCTGTCTCCTCCCAGAATAGTTCCAGGCAGCAGAACACAGTGAATCCTTCCAGATAAAAGACCCTGCTGATAAAATGCCAGATTGGTATCAGAGAAGCCAAGTGAGGGGAGTCCAGTCACTACCATTAACTACCATTAATTACTCGGTTACAGCTTTGTTTATATCCTGTTAGTTTGATGTGCGTTTTCCTTAGACAGCTTCTTGTCTGTGTTCTGAACTGCAGCCTGAAGTTTGTAAAAATCCTGAAGGCCAGGGAATAGTGGGTTCCTTATTTTCTGAAAGGTTTAATGGCAAGGAAGGGAATATCAAGGTTTCTGTCTTCCATCTGGAAGGAAATGGACAAATGCTTGGTTTTGGCAGTTCATCCCTCTTCTCAAGCATACAAACCCTAGTGTGTTGAATGAACTTTGGCTTTGAAAACTTAGCCAAGAGGTTACCTGGAAATACAATGGCATTCATCTCTGCAAAGCCATGAGTATCAACTAGTGAATGACTGAGTATCCAGCCATGGAGACCAGAGTCCAGCTGAATCTAAAAT